ATGCTCATGGTAACCTGATGTGTGTCAAACTAGAATTGTGTTCCATAGGGATTCTCAGAAAGAGATCGTTATTCTTTTCCTGGGTGGACTTTAGCTACGAATCTTCCAGGTATCAGCCAAGCACTTAGTCAGTTGCACCATCCAGGAACTCCACCAACTTGCTGGTAGACAAATGTGACCCTCAAGAAGGCTGATGAGACCAAGAAAGGTGTTGAAAGGACTTAGTTGGATGATGACCAAACCTATATTTTTGCCGTTTCCTACATAGCCCTACCATGATCCTGGGGACTTAGCAGGCCTGGATAAATCTGAATTGGGGAAGAATGATACACCTTGAATGGCATGAATAACATGGAAGCTTCTTTTTCAGGGGCCTATGTTAATTTGCTAATGCTGCTGTTAATACAAATACCACAAATGGGTGGCTTGAAAAAAAATCCGGCTGACTTGTTCTTCCCCTATCCCAGGGTTTGTTGTCTACCCCCTGCCTTCCCCCACTTCCCCCTCTCCCATGACCCCAGGAGCCATCAGTCTCATCATTCTCTCCTCTGGATTGTTCACCTCACTTATCTCGTCCAGAAGAACATGCAGGGACAAGAATATGCGCAAGAACAAAAGCAAAGCGAAACATAACAGCAAAAGGAAACACAAAAGCAAGACAACAACTAAAACAAACTACATAAATAAAAAGCCAACAGCAAAAAGGAAAGGTTCTCAAACAGTTCCAGGTCTGTCCGTTGACCTTTATGTTGATAGCAGGTACCATAGAGTACTGAAGGCACTCCCTTGAGTCCATCTGTGTCAGGGTAGAGCAGTGCTTTTGATGGCTTATTTTTTGGAAGTAGATAACCAGAGATGCCTTTTGGTTCACAGTCCAAGGATTGACTGTTTGCCCCAACCAGGGATTCTCATACTGGTGGATAGCGCTTTGATTCTGAGCCACAATAAAGGCCAAAGAGCCAAACTCACTGCCATGGAATCAAGGCTGAGCCATAACGACCCCTGTGGGTTTCTGGGCCTGTAACTGATTAGGGAAGAAGAAAGCCCAGTCTTTTTCCCTCAGAGCTGCTGGTGGGTTTCGAACTGCTCACCATGCAGATCCCAGCCCATCATGGAACCACTGCACCATCAGGATTTCTTTCACAATATGAAGAAAATACAAACATTTGAAAACAGGCATCAGCGAGGGTTGCGGGAGGGAATGAGTGCAGTTCAGGGTAGAATTTCTCAGTTGTCCTTATTATCCTCAGAGGGTTTATTCTTTTTGCAGGTTGTGTAGCTGGTGATCACTATTTTCAAGCTCTAAAAGCAGCAACTATTTTTTTCTGGTCTTTGCTTGCTTGTTTCACCTCTGCTTTCTTCTCTACTGTTCCCTCCAGCCCATATGGTTCAACCCTTAGTATGATTGATTCTCCAAACAGTTGGAGAATGAAACTCAGTTCCGTTTTGCAGTTTAAATCACCCACCCTTTGGGGATAGATAATGTCTTGGTTAATATGAATTCTGGAGGTTCAACCCAGAGGTCTATGTCCAGTTAAAAAAAAAATCAGAGTAACCCAACCAAGAATGAATTTAATTTTAAGACAACAATTATGTTCTGTACTTAAACTTTTGAATTTTCTTTTTATATTTCTTAAGAGACAATGCATAGCTCTGGCTGGAAAGTGTCAGTATCCTGGAAACAAGTAATGAGTAACATAATCTCATTTTGTATTTATTAATTTTCCATCAAGTTCGCAATTCTTCCATTTGATGAGGCTAACCAGTTTTCTTTGAACTGCAATTGGTCAGCAGTATTGCTGACATTGCGATGAAAAATATCTTTCCTGCGTACCAAACCTTGAGCTTCTCGTGCATGCTTAATTCATTTTCCTCTCAAATGCTTGAGCTTTTAAGTGATGGCTACGAATAATGAATCATTTCCAGTCTGTGACAATTATTGTATAAGGGTAGATTGTGCTATACAAATAGGAACAAATTATCCACCAGTGATGAAGATAACGGTGGTAGTTCTTTAATCTTCTCTGTCTCTCATCATGCCCTCCCTTCACTTCACACTCTTGCAGTCATGAGAATAATCTCCATAAACCTTGTCGGCTGAATTGAATTTCATGTGTGCATTACTAGGTAGTGATCACTTTCTGGTTGTCTGATTTTTTTCTTCCATAATAATGAAAGGGTGATTTATTGATTTCCTCTTATAAACTCATAGAACTGGGATTAGGAAACACTTTCCCAGCAGCCTTCTTTGCTCTAGTTGAGTCTTGTAAGATATTGTAGCTGTTAGGTGCTGTTGAGTCAGTCTGACTCATGACAACGCTGCCTACAACAGAACAAAAGCTGCCCACTCCTGCGGCACCCTCACAATTGGCTTTATGGTTGAACTCATTGAGTCAACCCATTTCAAAGATGGCATTGCCCTTTTTTGCTGACCTTCCACTTTATCAAGCATGATGTCCTTTCCCAGAGTCTTCCTCCATAACATCTCCAATGTCCAGCTGACAAATCTCACCATTCTTCTTTTCAAGGAGCATTTTGGTTGTAGTTTTTTCCAGGACAGATTCATTAGTTCTTCTGGAACTCCATGGTACTTTCAATATTCTTCTCCAACACCATCGTTCAAAAGCATCCGTTCTTCCTTACTCATTGGCCAATTTTCACACGCATGTGAATGACTGACACGACCACGGGTTGGGTCCGGTGTACCTTAGCGCTCAAGATGACATCCTCGCTCTTCAGTACGTTAAAGAGGTTGTGTGCAGCAGTACGATGTAGGTCAGATCTATTTAAAAAAAGCCCGAACACCAAATCTCTGAATAGATCCCTTAGGTTCCATTACTAACAAGATACTATTTGCTTATCACTAGAAACAGACTATTTATGAAATCTCATAGTAATGTGATTTCAGAGTTTGTGAATTATGTATTTTAGGCTAGCCACCTACACCCGAAAAAGCAATTCACTATTCTACTGCTCTAATGGTATGCATTACCATTAGAATTCATTGTGATTTTAAATTGTGGTTTCACACTACTGATAGCTTTAGTCTTTGTTTTCTTGGTATTTCCTTGCATTTTATTTTAATGAAGTAAAAATGTTTAGTATACAGAATTAAAAAACAAAACAAATGAAGTGTTGCTATGCTACTATTGTATTTATACTTTCTTTCCTTCTTTTTTAGTCACCTGAACCAGGAAAAGAGATGAGAACTATATAGTTTAGAGTACCACTTGTGAGGAATTAGTCAATTCTTTGACTAATAAAATGTTTTCTATTTTCTTTTTGGCATCATTTTTGTCCTTCTTTAAGTCATCTGAACTAGTTGCTGTTGAGATGGCTTGACTCATGGCAATCCCATGTGTGCTGGAGCAGAATACTAAAGTCGGGCTCCATAGGTGTTCAATGGATGGTTTTGCAGAAATGAGTTTCTAGGACTTTCTTGTGACGTGCCTGTGGGTGCACATGAGCCTTCAACCTCTTGGTTAATGGCAAGTACATTAATTGTTTGTACTATCCAGTAACTTTCAAGGCATCTTACATTTTTAAATATTGCCACAGAGAATTGATATCTCGTGGAATATATGCATATATATATAGACATATATGTATGTCTATATATATATACATATATGTATGTCTATCTATATATGTATATACATATATACAATCTCAATGTCAATGTAGCTAAATAAAAGAAGTCTTCAAAAATTTTATGGAAAAATTCCATTAGCTTATAATTCTATTTTCATGATGGTTTTGAAACCCCTCCATGTAAACTGTGTAACCATAATGAGCCACTAAACCTCTCTGAACTTCCATTCCTTCAGGTGACACGTTACCCCTCCCATCCCATATGGTTGCTGAAAGGAATCAGCAAGCTGGTGGATGTAAAGGCTCAATGCAGGGTATCAAAAGGTTCTCCTGTATAATTTTATTACTGACTTCATTTCTCTTTTTGGTACTTAAATGATTAAGCCTACCCATCTTCAGCCTATAGAAGCCTTTAAACTACTCATTACTTTAAAGCAGGCAACCAGCCCATGTGGTGGGGACGCTGGCATTCCAGCACTAACTGGGGCATTCTCTGTGGTGCGAGGAGCACAGCAGCAACACTGAGGAAATCAGTCACCTCTTTTGTTTTAACTTCCACCTGAGAACATGCTTCTAGTTATTGAGAAAGACACTGGATATTGTGGTCTGGTCTCTGAGACTCAATTCAGCTCATAGCCCAGTGTCTTCTTTTTTTAAAAAAATATTTTATTGAGGGCTCTTACAATTCTTATCACAGTCCATACATACATCCATTGAGTCAAGCATATAAGTACACCTGTTGCCCGCATCAATCTCAAAACATTTGCCCTCTACTTTAGCCCTCGATATCGTTTGCTCATTTTCCACCTCCTTCCCCCCCTTCCTCCTGAACCCTTCATAATTCAAAAATTATTATAGTTTTGTCATAAATTACACTGTCCGATGTCTTCTTTTTAGGGTGTTATTAGCTTCCAATTAGAGACCTGGGGTGCTCCCAACATGACTTCAGTAGAACAAATGGACATGATTGAAACAAAGGGACTTTTGATGAGTTCTAATACGAATACTACGAAGTCATTTGCTTTGTGCATGTTGAAAATGCAGTCTACCCGTAGCGCTTGAATATCTGAAAAATCCATTTTTATAGTCCCCCTTCATTTTCCATGCAGATAAGTGTGTAAAACAAGTCATCTCTTACAGCTGTTTTTAAGTAGACATTTTATTGATCACTTAAGGAATGTTGAGGTGAATACTTTTGCCCAAATTGAAAGGGCTGATTAACTTGTGTGCATGTAGACCAAAAAGAGGAGGCAGTTTGTTCATTCAGACTCGCCCATACTGTTGTGAGATGATGGGAAGGAAATGATATCCTAACAATGTTGTTCCCAAGAATAAAGGTACTATTAAATATTATACCACATGTGTCTGCCATTTATTCATGACCAACATTGATTAAGTGCCTGTTTCTCGTGCTCGCTTCGGCAACACATATGCTAATATTGGAACGATACAGAGAAGATTAGCATGACCCCTGTGCAAGGATGACACGCCTGTTTCTCTCACCCTTCCCTACCTTTATCCTTGAGGAAGACAATGACCTTGAAGAATCTTTCGTTTGTCAGCATGCAATCTATACAAGTTTGTGAACATAAATATCCTTTGAATATATTGAGCATCTTCAGAGAAACTACTCTTTTTGAATTAATGTCATAATAATTCAAGAAATTAGCTATGTTTTTTCTTGACATATTAATGAGGCCATGAGTTACTCTTCTCCGTTGTTACTAGATTAAAAATTGTTAGGAATAAGGCTCATCCCATTTATTTAGAAAGACACTTGGCTGCCAATGCAGTCTCACTGCCTCTACCCCTTTTTGTGGACATCTTTGCATCCATCGGTTGATTAATTTTTCAGAGCCCATTCACAGGATATACATCTTTGTGTCCCTTTTCCTGACAGTTTTGTCATTGTCCTCTACAAGCATGTTCAGATGTACCCTCCTTATCAGAAGCCACATTAGTTATGAAAGAGCAACTGGTGAAATTATGTTTAAAACGTGTTAAGTGTCAACACAAACTCAATATGCTCGAGGGCTTATCCATTGTCCTCCTCAGAAGGGAGAGAGCATGTGGTGGTCGTAGGGTGGTGTGTTTGGTGTTGCCCTCAGAGGGACACTCAGTGTATCCAAGCAAGATGAATGAGGGGTGAAGTTTGGCTGGGATGACCAATAGCTTTGAAGCTATAAACTAGCCTTCTTCATCCTGCCAATAAGGTCAGTACAGAAGACATATAGTTTAGTTACCAAACTCCTAAACTTTCTTTATGAGGGTAAGGGCTTCTCAATAGGCAATTAAACTGCAGATTCACAAGAGGTTCTAAGGCACGCTGTCTGAGCCACAGCAGTCAGGTGAGCAGAGAGGCAGTCCCACCCACCAGCTAGGATATATAAAAGCGATGAAACCTAACCTGACACTCACAGCTCAGAGCTCACTGCAGCAAGACACCCATTTGTCTGGCACCATGTCCTACAACTACTCCACAACGAACTTGGCTTCTAGACCAACTGGAGGATCACGCACGGTCCAGAGGGCCCCAGCTGCCGTGGCTGCGATGGAAGATGCTGACTGCTTGAGTGGCATCTATTTGCCTAGTACCTTCCAAACTGGCTCCTGGCTCCTGGATCACTGTCAGGAGACCGCTTTTGAGCCCACAGCTTGCCAGCCGACTTGTTTCCAGGCCAGTCCTTGCATTGTCAGCCCTAATCAGGCGACTTGTTCTCGTCCAGTAACCTGTGTCTCCAGCCCTTGCTCAACTCCTTGCAACCGACCACTCACCTTTGTCTCCAGTGGCTGTAAGCCCCTGGGAGGCATCTCTGGTGTCTGCCAACCTGTTGGTGGAATCTCCACTGGGTGCCAATCAGTGGGTATCTCCACTGTGTGCCAGCCTGTCGTAGGAGTTTCCAGTGTGTGCCAACCAGTGGGAGGAATCTCCAATATATGCCAACCAGCCTGTGGGGCCTCCAGGGGATACCAGAGGTCCTTCGTGTCCAGCTGCCGGCGAACTTGCTGAGAAAGTAGGAGCCGTGGGCGAATCAAGAATCCATGACCTGTCAGCTCTGTTTCCAGGATCTTCTAGCATGCTGCCCGCTGGCCCCTCTCCCAGCTGCTTGGTTTCTGGCTGTTAGCCATCCTTCCATTACCTCTGTCAACCTCAGACTTTCCTGCCAGTGCCAGGCCTGTTTTCAGTGGTGTTCGCTGGTGCTGTGTGTGCCTCTGCCTATTTCCAGTCACCGAGCACTCACACGCAAGTCTCTGATGGTTTTGAAGTGTTTTCATCTTGCTGCTGTGTCCTCTGGCTTCGGTTTTGTTGTTTGTGAAAAACAACAACAACAACACACTGTATATGTCTCAATAAACTTGCACTAGTTGGCATTGCAAATGGTTGTCTCAGTCGAGTTCGTTATTTGCCCCGGTTTTTGCTGTCGAAGAATCTGTCTTTGCCAGCCAGGGTCTGGTTTTCTTTTCTGAACGCTGCGAACAGATTTGGTGTGCTCATGACTGAGCAAGTGCTCATCATATGCTTTCGTCTGTCAGAGATTGCTTTGGGGGGTCTGGTGAAGCCTGGGCCGGGTTTGGGGGAGTGAGTTGTCCTCTAATTTTTCTGATTATTATGGCCTCACACAATCATTTCAATGAGGGAGAAAGAAAGCAATTTGGTGGAACCAAGACGTTGGGGAGTTGGACCCTGAAGGGATCAGCGGGGCCCAGTATTACTTCAGCACAGGACCATGGTGGAAGCCTGTGCAGAATATTCCCCCACAAAGATTCTGGGTGCAGAGCGAGAAGGAAGAGTGGGAACATGGGTATCCATGCTTTGAGAGTCCTTTTATACTCATTTCACGCCCTCTGGTAGATCAGTAGACTCCCAAACAGCCTCTAAACCATAGGTTCCCCAAATCATAGGGCCTACCACTGCCGTTTCAGAAAAACATCACTCAAGCACTTCTACCAATGAAACCCTTTCGTGCTGTATCCCAAAGTCGGGAACAAATGTAGGTATCTGCTTTGTAACACTCTTGGATTGATCCTATGCCCCTTCGCCCCAATGTCCCTGAGCTGCCCTGCCCGCATTGGGAACCACTGCCCTCAATAAACAGCAATAACCGGGGACTGACTGCCAAGTCAATCCTGACTCATGGCAACCCTGACTGACGTGTGTGAGAGCAGAACTGTGCTCCATACTGTTTTCCGGGACTCTCCCCTAGGGGGCACTGGGCGCCACTTTCAAAAGTTGATTGCCAGGCCTTTCTTCTGCTATGCCTCTGCTTGAACTCAGATCTCCAGTCTTGGTTAACAGTCAAACATGCTGACTGTTTGCCCAGCCCAGGGACTCTCTGAAAAAGTAAAACTTCCATGTTTTAGTCAATCCATTCAGGAATGACTTAAAACAGAAGTAAAAGATATGTTGGCTTATTTTGGCACCCATAGGCTCGCCTTCCGCAGGAAACCTAGTAGCTGAGAGAGCAAACTCTCTGATCCTGGGGGACGTGCGCATTTTCCCATTCTATAAAGTGAGAACTGGCTGGAAATTGGTTTGCATCTGCCCTTATCCTCTGTTATGTCTAGGGACACACCTCTGTATTTCCTTTTAGAGTTGCTCAGGGAGAAATAGAAGCAGGAGGTTTTTACAGAAAATGTAAACATTTGCGGTGCAGTGACATGAGCAATGGATGTCTTCCTCATATCAGGAGGTGCTTAGGGCCTTGTTGAGAATGTTGTCATCAGTCCCTGTCATCAATGCAAAGTGGCTTTCTTACTTTTTAAAATCATTTTATTAGGGGCTCATACAACTCTTATGACAATCCATACATACATCAATTGTGTAAAGCACATTTGTACATTCATTGCCCTCATCATTCTCAAAGCATTTGCTCTCCACTTAAGCCCCTGCTTTTCTTATTTTACAGGTATTTTAACTTTTTTTCCCTCAGAGAGGCAAAGTGTATAGACATTTTACATATGGCTGTAATATGCTCAGTTCTTCTACTGTTGACTCGATTCTTAGAATAAAATGTCCTCCAACCAAAGGAATGTTAATATATTTAGCTCACAGTAATATCTTAAGAAAAGATATGAAGTTTATTATATATTAATTCCACCATCACCCTGTCTTAAAAAATTAAAGGCATTGTTTTCAGAAAAGCTCTGAATTATTTTAAAATAAAAAACCACTCAGGGAACAATATATGGATCCTTCAAAGCTGTTGTATATATGACTCATTTATTGTTTAGTTTAAATGCTTCCTATATGACTTGAAAAAGCAGTCTTTTTTCAGAAATTTCTATGAGGGAATAAAAAGTAACTTGGTGGACATTTAAAAATGTTCTTGTTTTTAACTCTTCAGATATCTAAGTTCTTATTTCAAAATTGGAAAGGATAGAGATGCTTTTCTTTTTAATTTTATTTATATGCTAAGATGTTAATCAGCTCTAATGTATTGGATTTCTCTAACATTTGCTTAGTAATGTTGAATTTAGATTCCTTTACAAACTGGGTAGATATGAATAAGCTTTTGCTTGGGCTATTTACTGTGCTGGTTAGAACACTCAAGGAAATTGCAGTAGCTCCGCTAAGCTATTTCCTTGCTTGAATCTCTGTTTGGGGAAATTGTTTTTTGTACTTGTAGAGCTATTCTATTTCAAAAATTTTGGAAGTGCTCTCCATGCTGTGCCTCACTACTTAATACTTGGTAAAGTTTCCAAGTTTTTATTCGGTTATAAAACTTAGGGTAGCAATGATTTCTTTTCTTTCTTGGCCAACCTCTAGAAATGCAGCTTGCATCCAATGCCCTAGAGCTGTGTAAAGCAGCTTAAGCTCTCACTCTGAAGGTGTTTGGCTCACTTGTTCTGTCACTTAGCTTTGGTTAGATCCATTTATGAATTGGAAGGAACATCCATGTCTTTGTTTTACAGGAATAAACTCATGTCTCTGCTAAGGCTTCCTGCCATTTCATTTTAAAATGGAATCCCTTCTTTTCACTGCTGTGAGTAATTTAAGCCCATAGCGAGAGAACAGGGAAGAACATTAACTGTTCCTTAGTGCTCCTGATTTTGTAAATCTTTACAGAAGCAGACTGCCTCATCTTTGCCCCATGGAGAGACTAACAGATTTGAACTGATAATCCAGAGCTTAGCAGGACAACACTTAGCCAAAAGAGCCACTAGAACTCCTTGAAATGACATTAGCTTTGACTATATCACTTGCCAGAGTTCCTGGGTGATTCAAACCCACCAGCTGCTTCAAGGGAGAAAAAGAGTCAGTCTACTTCCATAAGGATTGCCATCTTAGCAACGCCAAGGAGATGTTTTATTCTGTCCTACAGTTGAAGGATCCTCCGTGGCTTAATGGGCTAAGTGTTGGACTGTTAACCACAAGATCAGCTATTTGAACCCATCAGGAGCTCCCTGGGTGATAGGCGAGGCTTTCTACCTCTGTAACGATTTACAGTCTTAGAAACCCATGGTGGTAGTTCTACTCTCACCGATAGGCTCTCTATGAGTTGGAATTGACTCAGTGACAGTTGAGTGATAGGACAATAGTTCATGAATTTTTTCCCTTTTTAAAAATCATTTTACTGGGGGCTCATACAACTCTTATCACAATCCATCCATCCATCCATTGTGTCAAGCACTTTTGTACATTTGCTGCCCTCGTCAAGTTCATGAATATTTCTACCTGACCTTACTTTTGTACACATCTGTACCTACCCATGTACCATTTTACCTGTACTCATTCGTATGTACTCAAATACATTTTAATTTTGGTAGTGTTTTCACGACATCCACACTCAGCACGACTTCTCCCATAATCAAATGTAACTGGTCTCTACTGTGTAAAGCGTACTTCCCACACACCCCCTCCCTGCTACCCACCAAAGACCAGTGTGCTTCTTTGCAAGTTTGAGTCCATTCCAAATCATAACGAGCTTGTGTGCAACAAAAAGAAACACTGACTGGTCCTGCACCTTTCTCACGATTGTATGTTTGAGATCATTGTTGCAACCACTGTGTTAATGTGTCTCCTTGAGGGTTTCCTGTTTTTCACTAATCTGTTACACTAATTCTCATAACTGGATCAATAGACAACATCATGATCAGTGGAGAAAAGATGGAAGTTGTTAAGGATTTCATCTTGCTTTGAATCCATACTCAATGCCCATGGCCTCTTTTTTCCGGGAACTGGTTTCTTGATAACACATCCAAGTGTGTGAGACCAAGTCTTGCCATCCTCATTTAAAAAACAGATTTATTGACATATAAATTCACATGTCATACAATTCAATAGTTCAATTATATATTAAAAAGTATGCTACAAAGGGGGAACCGATTACAGGGATCCACATATAACCTCCTCCCTGGGGGACGGACAACAGAAAAGTGGGTGAAGGGAGACATCAGACAGTGTAAGATATGACAAAATAATAATTTATAAATTATCAAGGGTTCATGAGGGAAGGGGGAGGGGGGGAAATGAGCTGATTCCAGGGGCTTACATGGTGAGGAGATGTTTTGAGAATGATGAGGATAATGACTGTACAAATGTGCTTTATACAATTGATGTGTGTATGGATTGAGCAAAAAGTTATATGAGCCCCCAATAAAATGATTAAAAAATAATTTTGCAATCACCACTACAATCAATTTTAGAACATACGCTTCTTTCTTGTACTCATTAGTATTAGGTTCCCATTTTCGCCCAACCTCCCTTGCCTATTGATCCGTTACTGCCTCTATAGATTTACCGGTCCTGGATTTCATATACAGAAAAACATACAAAAACAAAAACAAAAAACAAAACCACCCAACAACACTTACAAAATAAAACAGAAAATTTTCAATTGAAGATAAATAAAAAAAATATTGATGACTAGAACAAATTTACTGGGTCAAAAGGAAAATAAAATGATAAGGTATTAAATTTGATACCCAAAATTCGGGGAGATAAAGGCATGAAGTGGTTGGCTTACAAACTTTCATAGGTAGGGGGAAAAATTCACAGGATTATAGGGT